AGGTACGACTCTTGCCAAGTAATCTGAACAAAATTCTATGGCTTCTTCTGCAATATACCGCTCAACAATAGAAGCTTCAGGTCTGTATGGATTTTTAGAATACCCTTTGAAGATCTTCATGTATCGCTCAATTGGGTACATCCACCTCAAATAAACCGGCCCACAAATTCGTATCTCCCTCACAACATGAACTATTAAGTGAATCATTATATCAAAGAATGATGGAGGAAAATACATCTCCAATTGACATAGCACAACCGTAGCCTCATTTTCCAACTCATCTAGTGATTTTTCATCGATAACCTTGGCACAAATAGAATTGAAGAAAAAACATAGTCGCATAATGGCATGTCTAACATTCTTAGGCAATATGTTACGTATAGCCACGGGTAACAACTGTTGCATCAAAACGTGACAATCATGGGACTTTAATCCAATTAACTTCAGATCTTTCATGGATACAAGACTCTTAATATTTGAAGAGTATCCTTGTGGCACTTTAATACTTGCAAGACAATGACATAAACTACGTTTCTCCTTCTTTGACAAGGTGTGACATGCTTGGTGGTAGATATGTTCTATTGCCTTCGAGGCCTTGGATGTAATTCGGGACGTATTCCCATCTCACAAAGGTCTTGACGTGCTTTGATCCCATCCTTTGACTTTCCTTGAATGTTTAACAATGTGCCAATGAGACTATCACATACATTCTTCTCCACATGCATAACATCAATACAATGTCGTACTTCTAAATGGCTCCAATATGGAAGATAAAAGAAAATTGATCTTTTCTTCCACATGTTCTTGTCAGAAGACCTTTTTTGGGTCTTTTCAAATGTAATGCTTATGTTCTTCACTCGATCGTAAACTTCTAAACCAGTCAATGGTTCTCTGGCAATTTCATCCTCATGTATGCCATTAAAAGCTTTCTTTAGTCTACGGTATGGATGGTCATGCGGGAGAAATTTTCTGTGCCTGTTATAAATTGTCTTCTTTCCATGTTTCAATTGTATATAACTGGTCTCTTCTTCACAAATAGGACAAGCATAATGCCCCTTCACACTATACCCACTCAAGTTTCCATAGGCAGGGAAGTCATTAATGGTACAAAATAACATTGCATGCAACTTGAACTTCTGCTGCTGATACCCATCAAATGCATCTACTCCTTCCTCCCATAATAGTGTTAAGTCTTCTATCAAAGGACTCAAATACACATCTATGTCATTTCCTGGCTGTCTTGGACCTGAAATCATCATACACAACATGACATATTTGCGCTTCATGCATAACCATGGTGGAAGATTGTAAATCATCAATAAAACGGGCCATGAACTATGGTTACTACTTAAATTTCCAAAAGGATTCATCCCATCTGTTGCTAATCCAAGTCTAAGGTTTCTTGCATCACTACCAAAACTTGGAAATAGACGGTCAAAATTCTTCCATTGGGGAGAGTCAGATGGATGTCGCATTTGCCCATCACATGTTTTTCTCTTTGAATGCCAAATTAAATTTTCAGCATCTTCGTGAGCGTATAACCGCCTAAATCTTGGAATTATTGGAAGATACCATAAAACTTTTGCAGGAGGACGTTTTTTACCACTCTCCTGACTACAATCATCACCATCCTTCACTTTGTAACGTGATACACCACATGTTGGACATTGGTCTAAAGATGAGAATTCATTCCTGTATAAGACACAATCATTAGGGCAAGCATGTATCTTCCTATATTCTAAACCCATCGGACATAGTATCTTCTTCGCTTCATACATACGGTCCAGAAAGGTGTTATTTTCTGGGAGCATCTCCTTCAAAAGTTGAAGTAATTCATTAAAACTTGTATCACTCCAACCAAATTTTGCTTTTAGATTGACCAATCTTAACACAGATGACAACCGTGTGAAAGTTGTACATCCGGGATACAAAGGTGTCTCTGAATCGGTCCTCAATGTATCATATATAGATGCATGTGCTTCAAGAAAGCTCTCTTGACCCACATCACAAAGCATGTCCTCTATTCGATCTTCGCAGGTTACATCATCCTCAATAGTTTGTGATACTGTTGGAATATCAACCACTTCACCGTGCCATGTCCATATGGTGTAATTCTTCATCATCCCATCGCAAATAAGATGTTCCCGCATTGTGTCCATCTCTTGTACTCTCCCATTTACACAATTAACGCATGGGCAATAGATTTTTCCATTCATTTTGGGAGCATTTTGTTCGGCAAATTTCAAAAAGGAGTCAACTCCATTCTCATACTCTTCTGACATGCGACTTGCATTGACCCAAGTTCGATCCATCTAACTACACAAAAAGGCTTGCCTAGATATTCAAGGTTTATTAGAAAAGGTTTAGCAAAACAATACAAAAAAATTTGTGTACATCTCATTTCCCACATCAAGATTGGGAAAATAAAACGTGTACATCTACATGAAAGAGTATATACCGCTTCGAAACCGAAAACAAACTTCCAAAATCCTAAACGAACCTATATCAAATCAAACCATACAAAATCATCCATCATCTTTCTAATGTTCATACGCAGGAAATGCTGTAAATAATCCATATTTATGTTAAATGCATGCTGTAAATCATCCATACAACTTAATCTAACCTGATGAGAAGGGGTTTCCTTAGGGAAACGAGGGCTACCACACACACGGCAACAACGGGGGTACGCCGCGTAAGAGCGCGGCGAGTGGGCGGCGAAGGGCGGCGAGGGGCGAGAGCACGACAGTGAGGACCGAGGCGCAGACCACGCACGAACCGAGGTAGCGATGCACGACGGTGAGGACCGAAGGAGGGAGGTATGTGGGCACGAAGAAGAAGCGAGAAGAACAACTTCGCGCCTTGGAGGCTAGGTATCATAGGACATTCAACGTCGGTTATTAAAAAACCCGACGTGGATAATGCTTTTGACGTCGGGTAAATCATGGAACCGACGTTGATTTTGGGATTTCAACGTCGGTTATACATAACCGACGTTAAATTTAAACATTTAACGTCGTCTGTCATCTAACCGACGTTATTTGTCCGTTACTACGTCGGATTTTTTATAACCGACGTTAAATATTGTTTCTTAATTACAAGTTTTCCATCAGCGTCTTGTACAACGTCGGTCTTCATAAAAACCGACATTGGATGCTCGTCGTAGTAAGTGTTTTCCGTAGTAGTGAAATTATAAAAAACAAAAAAATTAGTATTATTATTATCTTATTATTATTATTATTATTATTATTATTATCTTATTATTATTACTATTATTATTATTATTATTATTATTTTTCTTTATTTAAAATCAATAAATAAGTAGATGAATAATATTTTACATTAGTCACAATTAAACTTTTTTTTTGTATTACAGACCTCTTTTTTTTAATTACAACTAATAAATTTATAAAGTTATCTAAATATAATTACAATTTTGATTTAATTATTATAAGATTAAAATTTTATGGTTATTTCGAGCGCATTTTAATTTGATCGTTATAAAAATTAATTTAAAATGTTAATTTTTTAGTACAATGAATTTCAAAAGGGTTTAATTATGGTAATAACTGTTTAGGACACATTTTAAACTAATTATTACTTAAAATTAAAAAAATTAATTAATTACTTTGGATGTACTTCCAATTTAATTATCAATTAAATTATAAAAAAGAACAATAATCACTTTAGATGCACCTCTAATTTGTTTATTTCATAATTATCCTAAGTATACTTTTAATTTGTCAACACTAATAAATAAATGTAAATAAATTACTCACAAATACATTTTTTATAAGAAAGAACTATGCTACTCCGATTCTCCATTGTACACTGGGATACGTAGGAGTAGGAAGATGATCTCTGTCGAGCTAATAATATAAAAATATATAATTTTTTATTTAGTAGCAATATCTAATCAATACATAAATTTGAGGGATAAAATAGATAATTTTAAGATACTTAAATTTTTACATCTAATCAATACATAATTGAAGGTTTTTCTGATATTTTTCCTTAAAATAAATATTGGTGGCGACTCCATTGTTTTTCTTTCATTTAGAAACCTAATCTTGTCATTCGATCGCGATTCGATAGCGACATTATTTATGAATAGGTCTATCAAAATTTGTAGTCTAATTTAATTTGATTTTTTCTTTTAAAAAATATAATCTTTGAAAAAAGTTATAATTTTTTGTCTAATCTTATATTTAACAAACTAATTTGACTTAATTGAAAATTTATATATATATATATATATATATATATATATATATAACATATTATATACAAATAATATATAGTTAATCCAAAAACATAAAACGAAATTATAAATAAAAAAATATTTTTTAAATTTAAGATATATTAATAAAGTTAATTTTTATATTAGATATAAATAATTTGATATATAAATTATAAGATGAGAAATCCATTTACTCCAAAGTAGAGTTATTTTTTTCTTATCATCCATTTTTTTAGTGAACTAATGCTTAAAGTAGTATTATTTTTTAATTCTTACTCTTGAAGTATGTTTATCCTTTCTCAAATTTAATTTGTAATACCCATATGTATTAATAAAATAATAATTTTTTTAAATTTATAAAATTGATTATCCATAGACCTACAAAATATCAAGCCTAAGCCTATATAGATTATGGACTAGATGGATGAGGTTAAGATTGGTCTAATTTAATTTAGTGTACAATTTTTTTGCTGACCTATCTTGTTTTTTTGAGAATTTTAGGTCGGCATTAAAAAAAACATTTTTCCCCCGTCCTACCCCACCTAGTCCGTCAATTCAACGGACCAAGGGCATGGTTGAGCGGGCTAGTCCATTGACTTGCTATAAGAAAATATTTATGTATAAATTCTTATATATGCTTTAAATGGTACATCCAAACGACAAGAGTAATTCTAATTCTCTTAAGGTAGCCAAATGTCATCACCTAATTAGTGACAACGTGCATAAATGGATTAGCGAGATTCTCATTGTCCTTATCTACTATCCAGCGAAGCCACAACCAAGGGAATGGACTTGGCAGAATCAACGAGGAAAGAAGCCCCTTTTGAGCTTAACTCTAGTTCGACTTTGTGAAATAACATGAGAGGTGTATGATAAGTGGGAGCTAGAAACAACAAAAGTGAAATATTACTTCTTTTAAAGTTATTTTACTTATTACGTGAATCGAAGGTGGGGCATTGCCCTTTTTTTTTGGACCGAAGGTTGGCTTCGGCGGGGCGATCCGAGTGGAAGACATTGTCAGATGGGGAGTTGGTTGGGGTAGCACATCTGTTCAAAAATAGTGTTGGTATAAGATGAGCTCAATGAGAACAAAAATCTTGTGTGAAACTGTAATGTCCAAATAATGTAGTATAGTATTTCGATTAAATAAAAGTCGATCCCACGAGGAACGATTTCACTGAGAATTCCAAATCATATGCTTAATAAGTGGATTAAAGCAAATTGGGTTTTTCACTATAAGAAAATATCATTTTAGCGACCTAAAAAATTGGTCGCTAATGTCAAAAAATTGATCGCTAATCAGTTAGTGACCGAAATTAGCGACTGAAATGCGCCGTTGCAAAAAGCCAAGTCGCAATGTGTTAGCGACCGATTTTCATTTTGGTCGCAAAATAGTGACCGATTTTATTTCGGTCGCAAAATAGCGACCGAAATTAATATATTAAATTGGTCGCTAAATCGGTGACAAAGTTAAAAAAATAGCGACCGATTTAAATCGATCGCTAAATCGGTGGTAAAGTTAAAAAACAGTGACTGATTTATATCGGTCGCTAAATCAATGACAAAGTTAAAAAAATAGCGATCGATTTATATCGGTCGCTAAATTAATGAAAAAATTAATAAAATTGTGACCGATTTAAATCGGTCGGTAAATCAATGACAATGTTAATTATTTTTATTTATTTACAACCCCTCTCTATTTATTTAAAGACTCCCCTACCTCCTTTTATATTACTACATGACAAAGTTAATTATTTTTATTTATTTACAACCCCTCTCTGTTTATCTAAAAACCTACCTCCCCTACCTCCTTTTTATATTATATTTTTATTTTATATTTTTAAGAAGTATTACTTATTATTATATTATTTCCCTACCTCCTTTTATATTATATTTTTATTTTATATTTTTTAGAATTATTACTTATTATTATATTATTATCATTGTCAGGATTCAAATCCGGTACCTTGAGTTGGAGGTTGAAACTCCAACCACTAAGCTACTAGGATTTTTCAATAATAACATACAAATAAATTATATTTATATACAAATAAATGTATATCCGTATAAATATATAAATATAAAATCTATGAATACAAATATATTTATATATTTTAATATATATTTAATATTGATATATTTAAATATTTATTTATTGATATATTTATTTATATATTTATACATTTATATATTTAAGAAAAATTTAAAAATTTAAATATTAAATTTTTAAAATAATATTATATTTTAAAAAATAAATATTAGAAAAAAGTTTAAAAACATATATAAATTATATTTACATGTATAAAATATTAAAGATATATATTTATATCTTTACATATTTATATATTTATATATTTACATATTTATATATTTATATCTTTACATATTTATAGATTTATATCTTTACATATTTATATATTTATATCTTTACATATTTATATATTTATATCTTTACATATTTATATATTTATATCTTTACATATTTATATATTTACATATTTACATATTTATATATTTACATATTTATATATTTACATATTTATATATTTATATATTTATATATTTATACATTTATATATTTTAAAAAAATTTAAATATTAAATTTTTAAAATAATATTATATTTTAAAAAACAAATATTAAATTTTTTTTAAAAACAAATATAAATTATATTTACATGTATAAAATATTAAAGATATATATTTATATCTTTACATATTTAAATATTTATATCTTTACATATTTATATATTTATATATTTATATATTTATATCTTTACATATTTATATATTTATATATTTATATATTTACATATTTATATATTTATATATTTATATCTTTACATTTTTATATATTTATATATTTATATATTTATATCTTTACATATTTATATATTTATATCTTTACATATTTACATATTTATATATTTATATATTTACATATTTATATATTTACATATTTATATATTTACATATTTATATATTTACATATTTATATATTTACATATTTATATATTTATATATTTATATATTTATATTTTTACATATATTTATATATTTATATTTTTATATCTTTATATCTTTACATATATTTATATCTTTATATTTTTATATCTTTATATATTTATATTTTTATATTTTTATATTTTTATATCTTTATATCTTTACATATTTATATATTTATATCTTTATATATTTATATATTTATATCTTTACATATTATATTTTTATATTTTTATATATTTACATATTTATATATTTACATATTTTTATTTTTATATTTTTATATTTTTATATATTTATATATTTATATATTTATATATTTATATATTTATATTATTATATCTTTACATATCTTTATATATTTATATATTTATATCTTTATATATTTATATCTTTATATCTTTATATATTTATATATTTATATATAAAGATATTAGTTTTGTATACAAATAATATTATAGTATAGTTCTATTAGTATACAAATTATATATTAGTATATTTAGTATAGTATAGTATACAAATTATTAGTTTTGTAATTTATACATGTTGAATATAGAGAAAATAGGGTTTGGAATTAATTTCCCTTGTGTATAAATCACACATAGGGTGATCTATTTATAGTAGAGAGATACAACTAAAAGAGTAACTAAAAGTAACAGAATAAACAAAAGATATTGTTTGATATTGTGGTTACCAATATCTAACAATATCTTAACAATATCAAATAATATCTAAACAATATCTAACACTCCCCTCAAGCTCGGAGCATACAAATCGTATATGCCAAGCTTGTTACAAATATAATCAATTCTAGGACCCCGTAAAGATTTAGTAAAAATATTCGTTAACTGATCACTTGAGTTAACAAACTCAGTCTTGATATCTCGAAACATAATCTTTTCTCGAATAAAATGACAAGTCAATCTCAATGTGTTTGATCCTCTCATGAAAGACAGGATTAGAACTAATATGAAGAGCAGACTGATTGTCACACACAAGTGTCATTTGAGTGACATCTCCAAATTGTAATTCTCTAAGCAATTGCTTGAGCCAAACAAGTTCACGAGGAAGCTAAGGCCATAACTCTATATTCCGCTTCGCACTGGATCTTGCCACAACACTTTGTTTCTTACTTTTCCATGAGATCAAGTTACCACCAATGGAGACACAATATCCGGATGTAGATCTTCTATCCGAAGGAGATCCTGCCCAATCGACATCCGAGTAGCAAACAACTCTTGTATGGTTATTAGAACCATATAACAATCCTTTTCCAGGAGATCCTTTAATATACTTCAAGATACGAATGATCTGCATTCCAATGATCTTCACATGGTGAATTAAGAAATTGACTTACCACACCGACTACAAAGGAAATGTCGGGACGAGTAAGCTGTAAGATAATTCAATTTTCCAACCAATCTTCTATACTGCTCAGGATCAGATATAGGCTCCCCCTGATTTGGTAAAAGTTTAGTATTGGGATCCATGGGTGTATCAACAGACTTTGAACTTATCAACCCAGTTTCCTCCAAAATATCTATGGCATACTTCCTCTGAGATATAACAATACCATCATTGGGCTGTGCCACCTCAATAACCAAGAAATATCTAAGTTTGCCAAGATCTTTGGTCTGAAAATGGTGACAGAGATGTTGTTTCAACTAAGAGATGCCATGGTTGTCACTACCTGTAAGAACGATGTCATCAACATATACCATCAAGTAAACACATCCAGCACTCGAGTGTCGATAAAAGACAGAATGATCTGATTCACACCGAGTCATACCAAATTGTTGAACAACCTTGCTAAACTTTCCAAACCAAGCCCTAGGTGTAACGTCATTTTTTTTTCTTCTAATTTATTTAATTTCTCAAAAATGGGAATAATTTTTTTTTCTTACAATATTATTTCTTTATGACAATGAACTTTAAAACTAATCATGGGTTAATGAATATATATAGATGTGTCGAACATATTCATACATATACATCCATAATCATAATACATTATTTTTCAAAATAACTAATCCAACAAGGATCATACTATAATTACATAAAGTTTGTACCCTTAAACGATTAGAACTTAATTTTAAATTTATACATCTCAAAATAAAGCAAATCCTAATCGGAAGCGAGTACCCAAAATTCCTAACTTTCTTATACAAGATCATACCCCTCCTGAGGGCGGCATTCTTCCATACATATGTATATGATACTCAATCAAACTATGGTTCCTCCACCACAATTGTTCCATCATTACCTGAAATATAACAGTAAGGATGAGTTTCCTTTTCTCATCACTCCAGAACACTAAACCGAAAATTTTTCCAACCTCTACAATCTAAAACCATATGTAACATTTATAGTCAAACATTTCATTTTTTTTCAATAAAGTATCCCACACAGAAATTTCAAACAATTTCCACAAATCACATTACTCAAACTAAAAATACACAATACATGTTTGTGTTTCATTCGTTCATTTTTGCCACATTTGAAATGCTCATGCACCTAGGATACACTATCAATCCCATCTTTCAATCTATGAAAGGATCACACATAAGTACAGACAACTCTCACAAACATAACAAAATTACACACGAGCATAAATGGCTCACAGAAGTATAGATAGTTGCCAGTTGATCTGCGCATCACAGATACAATGCTTACGCATAATGATCCCTTGGCAAAAAGGCAAAGTCAAAGAGTCAAGTCAGGAGTATAGAGCATGGCCAAACAATGCACTGTATATTTCCCCAAGATGAATATGATCTTCTCTTATCTCCTAAGCCCCTGGTGTATCTCCGTACCATCCACACACATATCTCGTCACTGAGTGACACCACCAACTCTTTAACAACAATATATTTGGTAGGAACAAACTCTACATCATACAGACCATATCACTATAGACATAATACCCTATTTTTAGATGACCAACACCTCTGACTTAGACTCAGCAGAAACATCTTATAGACATGATTTCCACTAACTACCATGATTATGAATGCATTACCTATTCATAACGTTTCTTTATACCATTC